TATCGCATTTAAATTGAGTAAAGACTTAATTGCCTCATGCATAGCAGTGTCTTTAGTCGTCCAGGTCTTTGTTGGGGGTACTTGCTCTAGACTAGGTGAACTACAAAATGGCAAGGCATAGCCTTTAATCCATTTCAGTATTACGGGATTTGAAGTAATCAAACACCATTTGTCATAGAAAAGTGAGAGCCTACCACCAATTGGGCTTACCTGCTCTATCGTCTGTATTTCCCCTGCTTCTGATGGGACTGCTGGCCTCGGAATGATCTCGACTGTCCCTTTTGACGAGTCGGGCCGTAACGGTTTAAAGAACGCTGGTCTTTCGCTGATGTGAACACAGGCTTCAAACGAATTCGCCCAGAGTTCCTACCACCTCTGTATGAAGCTGAGAATTGCAAAGGAGTAGCCGCCTTTAATTCCTTTCCTGCGTTCTGTAGAGACTTAGCTTCCCTGACGCTCTCTGAAACATCTGATCCAAAAAGGAAATCTCCTGGTTTAGTTCTCCCTAGAACCTCCCTAATGTTTTTGTTAAGGGTTGGTAAAATCAAATTACGCCTAGAGTCAGAGATGTCGTGAAAGGTGTGCGCCAGTAAACGACTAGCATCACCCAAAGGGGCTACAATTTCATCCCGTAACTTTTTTGGAATAGGATTGTCATTCAGCAAAGCTGTCAAAGACTTTCCCATAGCTCCCAAAACAGTTGCGAGTTTCGTTTGGATACTTTTATTAAAATTGTCCCGAGCCACCCGATCGTTGGCCAAAATTGCTAAAACTTCGGGATTTAGCTTAGGTGAGTTAAGTGTCGGACAGTTCTCCGGGACTGCATAACGTTGAGTTAAGGAAAGTAAATTTTCCTGCGAAAGGCCATTTGTTACAATGTAGTTCCACCTTGAGGAAAGTGCCTCATGTAAACAGTCCGCCTTAACTGGAGTACTAGGGCAATCATTTCCTAAAACGTCTCCAAAATCATCAAGGGCTAAAGAGCCGTCGTCGATGATGAGTACATTTTCTTCCAATTCGGTCTCAGGGCCGTTAGTCGAGTTCAAAGGAGCTCTAGGCTTTGGTCTACCATCCGCTCCGTGTAGGTCCTCAGCCTCACAGTGAGGAGAAAGACTTAAAGAAGTCTGGGATTTGTCACCTGCCCTTAAAGAAGGAGCAGGCGAAAGGCTTAACGAAGCCTCAGCAGACAAAGAACGTCTTCGTCTAAGATGCCTACTTGTTGATGGAACATCAGCAATGCTTAAGCTTTCAACGCTGCTGTAACTGCAATCAGAGCAGTCGCGTTTAGACCGGGAATCCGATCTTCTATTAATAGCACGAAAAGGAGGCCGAGACTGCCTGTCATGGCCGCCGTCCACATTTTCCTTATCCTCTAAAAGTCTCTCAAGCCTACGAAGGCGTTTTCGTAGGTCGCTTTTTGACGTCCCCCTGCTCCTAGAGCGATGCCGCTTGTTGGACTTGCCCATGTGTAGTAAAAAATTACATACGGGCGAAAAAGGCCTAAAAATAATACCTATGGTTAATAAAAACCGCTAAAATAAAATCATTTAGTTATACTCAGATACCAAAATCGTCGAAACACGCAAGACAACGATGTGAATGTGAACACGAGCACGAGAAAGCGAAGAATGAATCACCTGACGCCTGGCGCGAGGAACGAAACGCAAGGTTAACTCAGTGGCGGCTCGGCGGCAGGGTCGAACTTCTATTTTTGTTTCCTTTTTGTGAAACCTTTCTTTAAATACTCGTGATATGAGTTCGAGCAAGCGAACTACATGGTATTCTATACAATGTCTTCGGATTGGATGTCGAAATATAATTGACTCAATTCTAGCGGTAGAAATGATGCCTTTCAACTTGAAGGATCAATACAATTCCCTAATTATCATGCTAATAAAAAGCAACTCAGAGAATGAACTCACCTTATTCACCACCTTACGCACCCGCTAAGAAATATTTATACCACCTAGCACACGTTGCGAACACTAATACTCAACTGAAACAATTTCTGTACGACTTTCACCCCGATAATATTGATAAGTCACCTTGTGAGTAATCCTCCGTTTGTAGATGTCTCATATTGGAATTAATAGTCATTGCACTAAATTGTATACCTACAACTAAAGCTAATAATCAAATACAAGAAAAGATTCTTAGTCTTACATATCGGACACTAACTCTAAATGAATTCCACGTGTACTCCAGCGTTTTAGTTTACATTTAGCTTTACCTTTGCTTAGATTTACTAAAAAATATCCAGTATAATCAACACCAAAATGGAAAAGGGTCTCGTTAATAGCAACTCTCCCTTTTTTGAGAAATTCTTCTAGTGTCTTCACAAAATTGCGGGTGGAAAATGTGCTTGGATCTCGTGGTCAGCACGAGGGTCAGCATATCTACAATGCTCTTGTTACGTTAGAATTTTGTAAAATTTCTGTATAATCATTGAATAAAAATAGTGTTTTTATCTCGGTTTTTATTCAATGGTATCTATGATCTAAGTCGATATATTTTTTTATAAAAGAGACATAAGTTTATTTTAAATTTCACTAGATGATAATTTCTTTTTTTGAGAACCATAGGTATTTCAAGAACTAGTTATCTAATTCCTAATCTGCAAAATGCTGTCTAACAATAACATTAGGTACCAAAATATTCCCCTGACGCCTCCCGTAAAGTGGACGAAAATGTTGACGGAATGTATCTGGTTCCAAATTTAATGTGCCTCATTGTACTTTCCATTCCCCCTGCCGTTTTCGGAAAATTCGGTTTCAAAAAATCACGGCCAACTTCGCGAGAGTATCGAAATGATTTTAACATTGATGATGATTCCCCCTTCAAAGTTCAATGTAACTCAATGTAGGCAAAACCCTCTTTCATTACACCCTTGACGACTTAATGTAATCTGTAAACGACCACTTTTACTTCTCTGCTCGTTTTCAAATTACGTGTCACGAGGAATAAAAAAATTTAGTTTTCCGATTGATTACGATTAAAGGTCCAATTTGCAACCTTATTTATAGTAACAGAAAAATGCATACCCTATTCGTTTTTAAATTACGCTTTTTCAAGGAAAATTCATTTTGCGTTGCCCTATTCACTGAAAGGGTTGTCTATTTGCGAAGCGTTACATTCGTTTATCTTTTCGATTTGTTATGACTAAATAACATATTATCCTTAATTATAATAATAACAGAAAAATGCAGCCCCTGGTCGTTTTCGGCTTTTTTAAAGGAAATTTCAAGAATTTTTGTCCCTCCGATTGATTATGGTTAAAGATTCTATTAGTAACCCTATTTACATCAACATAAAAATTGACAGAAGCATATATCCCCTATCCATTTTAAAACTACGTATTTTTGAAGAAAAAATTTCTCCTACTTTGCATGCATTCCCTGTTGCGATGATCAGAGATTTTTATTTTTCGTTTGACTTCAATTAAAGGGCCCATTAGCTCTTTTACTTTACGTACTTTTCATGAAAAATGTTCCCTTATGTTGCACGTATTTACTGAAAGGGGTGTCTATTTTGTGGCGCATCAAAAATTTCTGTTTTGCTGACTGATAGTAGACCCGTAGGATTAAAATTCAAATCGGATTTACCCAATAAAAGGTTTTATTGTTTTAATAATGGCTCCATTTGTTACCCAATATGACTATCCTAGTTCCCCCCTCCGTAGTGGAGTTGTGCTTAAGTGGGAAGGGAAGGGGTAAAAATGTTCCTAGAAAAAGGGTAATTTTGCGGTTTTACGGTTATTATCGTTGAGTGAAGGAATCTGCTTTCTAAAGCCTTCGTAAAATCCAAATTACAAAGCAGCACGAGAACATTGCTTGAGAACTTACCTACCATTGTGGGTGGGACACCAGATGGATCCATTCCTCTAAGGATGGCAGACTTCAAAGATTGGTTTCTTCCTCCAAGGAACCAGCTTCACAGTGTCCTCTATTCACAATTTTCTGAAATGCAACAAGGGGTGTGCAGGTGGTTGTGGATGTCGGAATGCTGAGATGAAGTGCTTAATAGTTTGTGCCTTGCAAGGGAAATGCATAATTTAGTGCCCTAACGGCCGGTTGCAGGAAAGCGAATGATAATCAAAATCCTAGATTATTTGCCAAATCTGAGTTTAAACAAGAATTTTGACATTTGATTGGCTGCCTACTGCAATATAAAGCCAATCATTAATGTCTTAATACCGGATTAAACAATAATCCTGGATTTTTTTTGTGCAACTGGCAACCTTTAATTTTTTAGGTTGGATATTGTGAGTCATTTAGAAGGATATAATCGTAACACCGGAAACATACCCTTTCTGCAGGTACATTTTTACCCTCCACCACTTAACCACTTAAGCACAAGTCCGGGGAGGGGGGGGGGCTAGGATAAGTCATATTAGGCGACAAATGCAGTCATTAAAACAATAAAACGTTTTGTAGGATTTAAATCCGATTCGTCTAACTTGATGGCCTAATTATTAAACGGTATAAGTAAGTTGTTCATGGATCTCTATAAAAGGAGCTGTGATTGTGGAAACTTCATGGGTTTTTGAATACTAGTAGTAGTACAAAATTTGTTGTTGAGTACAAAATGATGGTATAAAATTGGCATGAATCGGTACTCTTGGTATTGTGGCGTTAAATCGCAACCCCAATATGGATTTGGTCCTCACGGGTAAAATGCAGTGGTGCAAAATTTAATACCTGCTGTACTGATAGGTACAAAATCGGCTCTCAATTACCGCATTAATGAATCGTGTATTAGCAATTGTCAATCCAAATATTCGAGAAACAATCGCAAATAACTCTCAGTCATTTTAAATAAACTAATCTTAAGAAAATTTAATTTACGGTTCTGCGTTAATTAATTAGTTGGTGCACTGGCGATAAGTAATTAAATAATTGCTTCAAATACCTATGCTAAAACAATGTTTAATTTAGTTAATAGAGATACATTTACATTTTCCTTGGCGCTGAGATTAGTGCCAGCGAATCGCGAAATTTATGGGTGCGTATTTATTTTTTCCAACTATTTCCTGATTTATCACTTTCGGCGGATTACTTAAAATTTATTACGATTGAGATAAGGGTGGCCGATGTGGTAAATCTCCATTAAAAAAATTTCAATTAACTAATGCCAATGCGCTCTGATGGTTAGATTAGGTATAATCAGAAGGTTCTCTTACCCCAGGAGGATCCGCTTCGGGCGTTGGCGAGGTCAAGTTTAGATCGGCTTCCTAAAATTGAAAAGATACGTCGCTTTATGGAATAATTATTTTAGTAACGGTTTAATGCTACGCCACTGTTAAAACAAGAACTCGAAGAAAGGTGGGCGTTTCGATGCGTTTATCGGCCGCGAGCGCAATGTATTAGAGAAACTGAAGATGATATCGACAGATGTCCAGGCCGTAATTTGAGGGCGGTACGGCACGTTCTTCGTGTCAGAGTCCCACAAGAATGCGTTATTATTCTGTTTTGTCCTCTGGCACGCGTACTCTTTGATATACACCGCCAACACCCAAAGCGCCCTGCTTTCAAGAACGGTTAGCATCGCGATTTTTATCTTTTCCTTCTTGGTAGCATTTACGTACCCGCTAATGATAATTAATACGTACCTTGACCAGTCTCTCTCTTATTTCCCACGAAAAAATTCCGGGATTTTGACGCTTAAGCTGCTCGATCCGATTTTCCACCTCTGGGGTCGCGACGCGCGGTTTCGATCCGCCGATTACGCCCGGTCGTATGCTTCCAGTCTCTTGGTAGCGATTCAAAATTTTTGATACGCATCCGTGCGACACCCTCAATTGCCGCGAGATAACGCAGGGACGCGTACCGGCGGCCGCCATTTCGACGATCTTTAAACGTATGTGGTTTGGAAGTGGACGGCCGTTTATGAACACTCCGCCAAGCTGGTTCACACGGCCCTGACCTGAAACGAAATTTATTAGAAAGACGTCTTAAGCCAATGTTTCAATGTGTCAAAAGCTCGATTGTAATTCAAATATCGTTTTCTTTCACATAAATACGTTTCACTATGTACGTGTGATGAATTTTCTAAAAGGAACGAATACTTGCTGTTTTTCAGAGGCCTGCCCGGGGTATCACTCATTCCCATTATTTATGGCGAATTACTAAGAAAACTGCTCGAAGGCGGATTATCCTAACATTGTGCCCTAGACTATGAATATTTTAAGTGCATCCCCAGTTTCTTAGTGGCGAAATTAAGGGCGCGCTGAAAGCTAATAAAATACAGGTAGTTGCTAACATTTTTTAACATACGTTCGTCATTGTAAACAACTTTCAATTGCTTGCCCAATATTCAATTATCGATTAGATTAGTCGGTTAGCCAAATGATTGACTTGGAATCGATTAATCTATTTCGACTAGTTAAATCTGTCTCGATTTAAATTACTGGATTGGCGATTGTATTGATATTTTCACTTTTACCTAACAAACTTGACAGAATTTTAGTGGTTCTTTTTTGCAGGATAATGTCCGACCTGAATTTTTGGCACAGGATAGGAAGCAACATATTTCCTTGGGGAGAGTAAGGGTAAAGTTTCTCTGTTATGGCGGCTTTTCTTGAGGACAAATGTTTCTAGTGCGGTTTTTCGGGGCGATTATTTATGGGGCTACTGTTTCGGTATTATCATTGTCATTTGAACCAAATTCCGATAGGTATATTTTCTATGTTTTCTAATTCCTCGGTATACTTAAGAGTCTTCTGTACCCACTGCACCCAATGTAAATTTCCAAAAGGGGGCCCGCCATAAAAACTCTATTTGTTTTTACAAAAACAATTTTTTTTAAGAACTATTGTATAAATTTAGACCTTTATCTACAAAATGTTCGGACTATTTTTTTTTTAAAGTTTATAGCAACTGAATACAGATTGTTTAAAATTTAGATGTTTCGCACCGATTATTGCGCTAATCTGTTTTATTTTTTTACTCTCGATCAAGACGATTTATGGAAAAAGTAAACCGACAGTTTTTTAGATAAATTACTTCTAAACATGACCCCAAAAAATGAAATCATAATTTTTGTAAATAAAGTCTGTATCTTGGGGGGCGTTAAATCAACAATTTGAGTGTAACAAGTGGCGCCGCTGCACAGTGTCGGTGGGAACTAACTAAGGACCAAGACAGGAGTTGACAAAGCAAGAATATAATCTTATCTCTTGCAGCTATAATCATCTATACACTATAATGTAAAAAAGTTGCGCTTAGGTAAAGAAGACTCTTAACATTTCCTATGCGTCGTACAAGAATTGGACCAAAAGCTTCTTTTTAAAAATTGCCACACTTTCTGTAATTTCATTGATGAATATGAAAATTTCAAAAAAATAAGAAAATTGGCATTACGCAGTTTACGCATGCGCACATCTACTTATCTTCTTTGACAGGGCAGAGATTTTCCGGTATATCAAAATTTGGCTTGTTAAAAAGGAATAACAATATGACTCATCTTTAAAAACATCTATATCAAGTGGATACGTTTAGTAAATTAGATTTCTTTTTTTGGAAGCTTTAATCTTTGCCAATTTAATTTTCTCTTAGCTAAAATTTGAAGTTTCTTTGAGAATCTTGACGTAATTTTTAATTTTTAAACCGGCCAAAGCTTTTCCAGAAAGTTAACATTTATTTGGAAATCTCAGTTTTTCAAATGAAGGATTTCAGAAAAATCATAGTGAAAATCTCGACGTAAGTTCTTGAATTTTGAAAAGTTTCTTTGTTAGGGCGGCATTTCTTTAGGACGAATGTGGGCTACTATTTCGTTGGTTCTCCTATTGCATAGGAGACGAATTTGCTCAAAAGCTTCCTCCATTGCTGAGTTTCCATACTTTCCGTAGTTTCCGCAATTTCCATTAGAAGTAAGTAACCAAATTCCTTTAAAAATTAAACTTTCCGATATATTTTTGTATATTTTCTATTTGCCCCGTATACTTAATATTTCTTATTAAAAATGACCACACTTTCTGTAATTTCATTGAAGAATCTATGGCTAAAATTTCAAAAAAATATCTCTATAAATAAACAATTGACATTACACAGTTTGCGCTGGCGCACATCAGATTTTTAGAATATGCGATAAGCTCGTCGTTACTAGAAGCATGCGCATGCACACATCTGATTCTTACAATATGCAATATGATTGTTTTTACTAAAAAAATTTATAGTTAACATTAAAAAAAAAACCGTACAGGACTGATGGCTTTCGGAAAGATCATTGTAAGAATCTCGACGTCTTTTAATTTTTAACTGGAACAAAGGTTTTCCGGAGTGTCAATATTCAGCTTTTTAAATATTTGCGGTGGATTTTATTTTGGATGCATTTCTAGAACCTGCATTTCTAGAACCTATATGCTTCCTAAAAAATTCATACTTGCAACTGCTTCAAGTATCCACGGTTGCATTTACTTTAAATGAAATCGTTTGAAAAAATTGAACTGTGAGAATCTGGACGTAAGTTTTTAATTTTTTGAAATGTTTAAACTGAACAAGAATTTTCCGTTGGTTTTACTTTTTCAAATATTTGCGCTGGGTTTTTCGGTGCATTTTTAGAAATTGTACATGAATGAACGGTTTTTGAAAAATCCATGGTTGCATCTGAATGAATACGTTTTAGAAAATTGAATTTCTTGTTTTGGGAACCTTAATCTATGCCATTTTAATTTTCTGTTCTGAAGTAACTGTGCGAATCTAGACGCAAAAAAACATTTTTAGATTTTTTGGAAAGTTAGCATTTAGTTGGTTTACGTCTCAACTTTCCAAATTTTACGTTGGTTTCAGTTTGGATGCATTGAACGCTTACTGGAAAATCCATATTTGCATCCTCTTTAAGTAAAATAGAATATCCGTTTTTAGAAGCTCTTTAATGTTTGCCAATTTTCATTTTTGTTCGGTACATTATGCAGAAACTGTGAAACGACATAAGCTCCTAAAAGAATTTTTTAATTTCTAAACGGATAAGAAAGATGTTCCAGAAAGTTTCTTTGAAGAAGTTTTTCCTTGAAGGAGTAGAGATTAATTATTGACATAAATCATTTATTCATAAAATTAAGCCTTGCTAGTTCCTACTTTATTTAATTTATACAGGGTGTAACTCATGAAAGCTGTTAAAGGCAGAGCTCTTAAAGACTGCAACAATGGAGGTTCTAAAACGATCTAGAAGAATATCGGAGACTGACTGTATGAAATTATTAGAGACTTTTGGACTCTTCGAAGTCCGTGAAACTCTTTGGAGGCTCAGCTGAACTCTGTGACGAAGAAAACTAAAAGGAAATAAGAAATCCAGCACTACGGCTCCAGCTGCTCTCGGTGGTAGGGGTGGTTCGACCATACTGAAAGAAATAGCTAGAAATGCTCAGAAAATTTAGGCGCCACTAATTTTTCGGTAGTTCCAAGCCGTACAGGAAAAAAATTAGAAACCTGCTCCTGTTGGACTGGAAATGCAGGGGTAAAACTATAAAGAAGAGAAATAGAGAAAATAGCGGGAAAGAAAAGGTATTTATTCAAGGAAATCCAGAAACTAACACAGATATTGTAGGGCGAATGATGATGATTGATAATGGCACGGAATGATAACAGGGAAAATAACGGCAAAAAAAAAGAAAAATCAGTACGAGATCTCGTCTCACAGTAAGACAATAAAATTTGACAAAATTACTTAATATGATGTAGGGTGGCTGAATTAATGTGATGGGTTTTTTTTAAATTAACTTAACGGTTTTTTGTTTTTTTAGGTAAATAGGTAACTTGAAACTTGGACTTAGCTGTTCTGGCTCCTGAAGTTGTCCAGCAGTTGTCCGGCGGACTTGGCGGTTGTAAACCAGTGGCTAAATGCGGGGAAGATTAAGGATAGGGATGAGGGTAGAAGGGAACAAAGGGAAAAGAAATTTGAGGGCATCGAAAGAAGATTGAAGACTGAAGACGGATGACTGTAGATTGAAGACGGACGACTGAAGATTGAAGACGGACGACTGAAGACTGAAGACGGACGACTGAAGACTGAAGACGGACGAAGACGAAGATTTCTTAGTAGTAGATAGGTACGTATAACAAGTATAGACAAGTAATAACTAAAAATACAAGGCCCTAGAACAAAAACCCAACATTACAAGCTAAAACTATCACGAAAAGGCTACTTACGAGATGGTGTGGGCCTTAACGTAGAGACAATATATAGATATGCATGCTCAATTAAATTGGTGGACGGTGAAATAACGCTCGGATCCTAAGAGACAACGAAGAAATAGAAAATGATAAGAAAATTTTTTTTCCGGGTCGATCTGAGACAATTTTCTTTTCGAGCCTCAAAAAAAGGCAGTGTATTACCTTCCTTTTTTACCAAAAATCGACTACACCAAAATTTCTCGGGAAAAGACTTTTTCTTATTAATTTTGGTGCGTAGAATCCAAAACAATTCGTACTTTTTCGATCAGACTTCTCAATCAAAAGTTATAGACTAGAAACCAATTTCGAAAAAAAATTCAAAGGGCTGTAACTTTGGAACTAGTAGCCCAATCTTGGAACTGTTTGAAATTATGGATTCTACAGGCCACATTCTATAAGAAAATTTTTTTTCCGGGACGATCTGAGACAATTTTTTTTTCGAGCCTCAAAAAAAGGCAGTGTATAACCTTCCTTTTTTACCAAAAATCGACTACACCAAAATTTCTCGGGAAAACACTTTCTTATTAAATTTGGTGCGTAGAATCCAAAACAATTCGTACTTTTTCGATCAGACTTCTCAATCAAAAGTTATAGACTAGAAACCAAATTCGAAAAAAAATTCAAAGGGCTGTAACTTTTGAACTAGTAGCCCAATCTTGGAACTGTTTGAAATTATGGATTCTACAGGCCACATTCTATACAAACAACTAAAACACTTACACAAGGGTTGAAATCCGGCGAGCAAAGGTAACA